AGGATTAGCTACTAGAGTAGGAGTAACATTCCGTTACTCCTGCTGATGTCCCATCTAAGACTCAAGCCTGAATTAATTGTCCATCCAAAACTTCTATGGGAGACAAGGGTGATTTTGGTGCACAAAGAATTCAGAATCAGGTCCCTTAAATTAAAATCCTCTGTGACATTACAGTCCTCTCTATTGCAAATAACTAGGAGAGCACAAGCAAAATTATAGCTTCAACTCAGGAACATGCAGCTCCATCAGGAACAAATAAGATGCTTACATGCCATTTATCTAATAATCAAATAGTGGAGAAAAGAAATATGAAAGGGTCTGCATGCCTGACACTTTGGACTCAGGGTATGCAGATCTATTTGTAAACAGAATGTTTTTTCAAGATTTCCATGAAACATCAATGACTATTTGTAAGTTATTTGAGGAGAAATGATAGGGAACTGTGTTAGTGCTTCATAATTAATAATAATACTACTTAGCTATTTTCAAGTAGATCTGAAAGCACTTTACAAAAGAATTAAGTAACTTTCCCCCTATTTTACAAATGGGAAACTGAGACATCTAGTGGTGAAGTGACTTGCCCAAGATCACCCAGCAAGCCAGTGGCAGAGGCAGGAATAGCAAGCAATATACTTGCATTTCGTTCCAGGGCTCTAGTCACTGTATCATAGCCTAAGATTTAAAATCTGCCTTAATGTTCTTGAAGAAAAAGTAATCAGTACATGAACAACAGTTGAACCTTTCTAGTCTGGCATTCTCTGGTCTGGTCACATCTGTGGTCCAGCATGATTTTAGTTAGCTGGATATTCACTTATCATGGATGTGGCTAAGTTTCCTCCAGTCCCATAAAGTTTATTTACAGCCACCAGTTCTAGCTCTTAGTGTTCTGCGCTGTTATTTAGCTCTAAATTACCCTAAATGTCTTCTAAGGGACCAGCAAGCAGTGGAAGTGTTGATAATGTTGCTAAGCATAAGCATGGTTTTTATGCTTTATCTACTTGCTTCCTTGTGTCAATACAGTAAAATTGTGTAACAATACAAACACTTTGTTATGAAGAGAGCTGATAAGCCTTGGCTAGCTGTAGACTTGTATAAGGTGTATCAGTACAGGAATATATTATTAAGCAGCATTGCTAGCATTGTTCCATTTATTTGCCTCAGTAAATTAAAATAAAGAGTTCCACTCACTATAACATTGACCTGTGGTTCGGGAAATTCTCTGGTTCATCAATGGTCAGGTCCTGAAGTTGCCAGACTAGTGAGGTTCCACCTGTACATTAAAAAAGCATCTACATTAGGGGAAGTTGCAAAAACCAGCAAAAGATCCAGAGAGGTTAGCAATAAGGTGACTAATCCCTAATATAAAATATTTCCGAGGAAAAACCATAGTACACATACCAAATACGACGGACATAATCAAGCATTCTCATCCACCACTTTCAACTGAATTAATTTAATCTTCTCTCAATACTGTCCTAATTTATAAAGGACCACATGTTCCACTATAGTTAAGGCTGAGAGAAGCCCTTTGTATTCCAAGGACAACTCTTCCACATACTCTGCATGATGATTTGGATTGAATTGTTGTGTGTATTCCAGAATGTAGGGGAATACACTGAGGGTGTCTAAAATACCTCTCTGCCTGCTGTGAGTATCTTGGGAAGTCTAAGCCCCACTCCCTGGAGAAGATCTGATCCTCTGGGCAGGAAGTGGAGAAAATGCATATTTGAAGTGGCACCAAGAACAGGTTGCTTCTACTAGGGATGTAAAAATTTGGTTAAAACAGTAATCATGTAACTGCTGAAAATCTTAGGGTGTGTCTAAACTACATGGCTCCGTCAATGGAGCCATGTAGATTAGACAGATAGGCAAAGGCAAATGAAGCCACGATTTAAATGATCGCGGCTTCATTTAAATTTACATGGCTGTCGCACTAAGCCCTCGTGGGATGAGGTTTACCGGGGCTGCCGACAAAGGGCTTTGATGTCGACAGAGGAGCGTCCAGACTAGCACGCTGATCAGCTGTTTGTTGGCTCAGCGCGGCAGCCATGTAAATTTAAATGAAGCCGCGATCATTTAAATCGCGGCTTCATTTGCCTTTGCCAAAAAAACAAATCTACATGGCTCCGTCGATGGAGCCATGTAGTTTAGACGTACCCTTAGTGATTACAAGGTTATATGCACTGCGGCTTTGCAGTATAAAGCTTATCTCAGTCTTCTTGGGGAGGCTTCAGGAAAGCCGCTTCCCCAGGAACTGGGACTGCTGGCTCTGTTCCTGGGGAGGCAGCTTCAGAGATTAATTGATAACATTAACCAATGCCTTTCCTTTGCTAAAACAAAACTTGTATTTAAATGAGTACTAAGCCAGTTCTATATTCAATGAACCCCACAATCCTACATGTAATACATTTTACAACCCTTCACCTCTTTTTTTCAACCTAATCACTCTCACCCACAGTATTCAACACTATATTTCCACTTACTGAGCTTTAAACTCACAAACCATATCCTGTAGCCCACCTCAGAGATGGTAGTTCTCATGGTGAGAAGACCCCTGTGCTCCATCAGTGATACAGCCTACCTAACTCAGCACTGAAATGAAGCATATCTCAGGAATGCACTGCTCCTACACATGCAGGGGGTCAGGGAGGCAGGCAGGAAGAGATGGTCAGATCAGCCAAGTGGAAATTGGAGCCTACAGATTTCCTCATATCCTAATCACAGCCCTGCCAAGATACTCCAGCTAATCCCTCTTCCATTCTGTGAGTCCACCTAAAACAGTGAACACAGTTGGAGTGCGGACCTATAGTTCTCATTGGAAATGGCCTGCTCAAGAATGGCAGACTTAAAGCTGCAATAGCATGGACTTCAATTCTTTATTTCCTGATTTTCAGAAGTTTAAAATACCTTGTTTCTTCATCCGTGGTTCTGGAATGGGACAAGGTACCACTAAGAAACCATTAAGGACAGTTTTGTCAGGGAATATTTTAGTTTGCAAACCAAGCATTTAGGGTTGCCTACTCTCTGGTGCAGGAGAGTTGGCAACAATGTTAATTTTTTTAATGCTATACTTCCACTTACCGAGCAGAATGAATTTTATTATGTGCATCAGTATGGTGATGACATGTGACACATCAGCTCCATACTGGTGCCCATAACAAAGTTCAGTTAGCACCAGACAATCTGAGGGGTTTGGAGTGTGGAAGAGGGCTCAGGGCTGGCAACCCTACAAGCATTCTAGGGGCTGCACAGAAGATGCACAATTGCAACAGCAAGAGGGATGGCCACAGTAGCGCCTTTGCTGTTAAACTACTGCTGGCAGAAGGTATATTTCAAGGGGAAGACAAAGCGTCAGTGATCCAGCGGAACGGAGTGGGAGTGGGATTCGTGGGCAGGGCTGCATGGGGACATCCATGCAGGAAGGAGCACGGTAGCTGGGAATCCGGCTGGGTGGGAGAGCTTTGGGGAAGCTTGGCTTATGGGGAGTCCTGGAGAAGTCTAGGATGGGGGTGAGACAGAACAGCCTGGAGAACTGGCAGCCAGGGGTCCCTAGATGTGTTCTTGGGCGCCTGGGCCCCCCTGGGTGAATTAACGAATAGATGGGGCTGCGTGGGAGCCGAGAGGGGGTAGGTGGGGCACCCAGAGCTGTCGAGGGACCAGCAGGGCCTTTGGCAGGAGCCTTCCACAGCGCTCAGGGCTCCAAGGTGCGATGTCTCCGCCTCCCCGGAGAGGGCACCAACCTCTCTTCCGCGACGCTGGCGCGCTGGGCGGCTCTCTTGAGGCGGGGGCGG